AAAAACGGTGCAATGCAGGCGGGGAGCCCGATCACCGGAAGCGGAGCCCAAGAAGGGCTGAGCACCGCAGCAGTCCCCCCACGGGCAGACGGAGGAGCGACAGGACGGTCCACAGCAGCGTAGCCCAGACACAGGCCCCGTCGACCCCCACCACGGGGCGCAGAGGGGCGGAGAAGGCACGGAGCACCGTCCGACAGCCGAACAGGCAGGACGCCGCGACAGCGCGACCGAGGGCAACCGTGCGACGACCGACGGTCCAAAACCACAACGAATTGCGACAGGAGAGGAGGGTTTCTCCCATGACGAGAGTAAACCGTAAAAAAACCCGTAAAACAAACGCTAAAAAAGAATAATAGCGGGTGAGCAGCGGCAGCCAGACGCGCCAGCGTTCACTCAACCCGGAAGTGCTGCTGTTTTGTTGAAGCTGGATTTGCGTTCTTTGTGACTATTTAACACAAAGCTTAAGCCAGGAAACTAGGTAGCGGTGTTTGAGTGACTTTAGTCAGAGATTCAGAAGTATTAGTGAAGTGAAGTTATATTCAAATGTTGCTAGCAGTTCTAAGACTGCAAAGTTCCCCTTTAACAGTCTCAATTGACAAGTGCCATTTAGATTCGACTGTACATCGCTGATGTACTTTTTGTAATGACAGCTGGCAGGCCATCCTTGAAAAACTGCCTCAGCTATCCTACCACATCTCCCAGCCTCTCTCCATGAGAAAACCACATTTTGACAATATTGTTCGTGAAAGACGTCTTATCCCCATATGGCTTTCCCGGGGATGCGAGACATCAGCTGCATGCAAACATTTGTGATGCAGGCCGTCGCTCATTTCTCAGGAAACAACGTTGCATTGGTTTCTACTCTAAACTAGATACACCTGGGCAGAAACGCAGCTCCAATTTCATTCCTGGCCTCTCGTCTTGTTCCATGTACACCCACACTCTGTCCCCAGCGCCTCTGGATCCTGTTCCTGCTCCGATTCCCTCACCACAGTCAGAGGACGAAAATTCAACAGGCGGCTAAGTAATGCATTTTCCTGCTCTCCAGCTGCATGGAGCTGCAGCAAAATCAAATGTTCTCATTGGGCTTGCTGCTTTACACCCCAAAACAGGTGTGAACACTTCCACTAGCCACCCCAGCTTTCTCCCACCAAAGCCCGTTCCCAACTTTAGCCTCCGTGAGGGCGATCCTAATGTAACCAATGGAATTTGGCGGATTTCAACAAGGTCTTGCTGTGGAAATCCCATGTCTTGACTCAATGGAGGCACAGTAGAATTCACTATTTGACTACCCGACTTATTTACTGCCTAAACTGGCATCCAGAGAAATCGAAACAGGAAGTCGAAGACTGTACTGCACCAAAAAAATTGGTTAAAGAGGGCGAAGCAATGCAATAATCTTGCCAAGTGGTGTAAGGTTCCTCAGGGATGGTGAAGTATGAATGAAAGGTTCAATACGTCAATGCGGAATTGTCACAAGGCCTCTATCACATGCCGGCACGGCTCATAATTCTCAACATATTTAGTTGCAGTTGGCTTTCAAAACTTGACTGTGAAACAGCTCACCACAGAGCCTCAGGCTGTTTTCTTTATTTTATCTTGTTGGCATCTTTTGAGAAAAAAAAAAAAAACATGCGTTTGTATTTTCCGATGGCTAACATTCCCAAAATGACTATACTGTATAATGTCAAAGGCACTTGACAACGGAATGTTCATATTCCACATCAAGTACATTGCTCAGAAAGTATCAATTCGCTTTGCCTTAAGTCATTTTAAAGAGGGCGATGTGCACTACGCGTCATTCCTACCTGCGGCCGAGTGGATGAGGATGCTCTGGTTGGGCCGCAGGTGACCGAAGTCAAACAGCATCATGTAGGCGGTGATGTAGTTGACCGGTATGGCGGCGGCCTCCTCGAAGCTCATCCCCTCCGGCATGAGGAAGGTGTGGTTGGCGGGCACCGCCACCACCTCTTGCCACAGGCCGAAGCGACTCAGCACCATCACCTGGTCGCCCACCTGGGAAACAATGACAATTATGTGGATGAAAAGACTAGAACGGTGATTACCAATGTGAAAAGAAAAAAAAATACAGTCATGAAATGATGAAATTTCCCCAAAATGGTCCGAAAGCATGTGCTGCCGCTAAAAACCTGACTATATTTCTTCTAGGCCTTTAACGGAGCCACGGGGTGGAGCTTATCCAGTTTTTTAATAATTCAGCCCCAGAGCCAGTTTAGTATCGGGGCTTGGTACCCATCCTTATTCAACATACTTACTTGACACCAATGACTACAAGCCAAGGCTTTGGTTAACACTGAAAAAAAAAAACATCAATCGTATTTTTGGTGACATTTTTGTTTGTTTATGTGCCATGAGATTTTTCCAAATGTGAATGATGTGCCTTGGCTCAGTTAAGGTTAGGGAGACTGTGGTTGATCTGTAGTTGAGCTTTAATGACGACCAGGTTTCATCCATTCTGCTTTCTGTTCCTATTTACTTTTGGCGGTGTGAGCGCTCGAATTCTTGCCTGGGTTCACTAGCAATCAGCATTACTGGCAGGACGGGTGCCAAGCATTTCCGCCGCTGACATTGCAGCGTGTTTTGACTCTTAAGATTGCCGCAAAAAAATACTTTATCAGCACGCCAACGCGTCAGTTTTAAAGTGATACACTCACAATTGATTAAGTTGGATGCAACGTCAGCCTTAAATTTAGATGGAAACGGAGCCTCGTATCGGGCTAATACATGAATCCGTGGTTTTTACAGTGAAAGCCTTTTTTGACGGGGTCTGGATCCTGCCCCCGTGGGTGGTTTTTTTGGTCACCACAAGGGCAGACATGCAAAAATGCAGCCCAGCCTTGAAGGCTTTGCTCTGCGCAAAAGAATGAAAAACAGAGACAGCTCTTTTGCAACTCTTGTTTGTTGTCTCGCGCCGAAAGGGGGAAAGCTACAGAGCGCTGCAAAAAGGCAAAATGAGGTGACACAGAAAGTGTCAACGCTTGCAACAATCCAGATTACATGCTGGTTAATCTGCACATACAAGGTTCATTTATTCATCACTGTTCCAAACATTGTTTCAGTCATGTAGGTTTGAGGATAAAATATTTACGACGCAATTTATTGGATTCATCACATGGATATAAGCGAGGAGCCTCAATTTTTTTTTTTAGCTTTGAGCCTTTTGACCCTTTGGGACCACCATAATTGAAGCTCGGGTCCAATAAAATCAGTCAAAACAGTCCTACACATCCGAATAATTAAATCTTGCCCATCGCGAGAGTCTAACCTGCTGGAAAGTGCCTCAATCGGCCTTCTATCCTAAACTGCGAACTTTGTCTGGGGTTTTGAGGCTCCACATCCAATATGTTGTTCTGTGTCACTTTTATCAAACCATAAAACCATAGCGTGATTGTCAAGGAACGAGCCGGTTGCCTCGCCCCCGTTCGATGACTTGTGGTGACAAAGACTTGCATCCATGTGTATGTAGAAAATGATTGCCTTTGTCAAAGTGGGTATGTACGGGTATGGACACTCTTTTTGAATTGTTTCAGTCATGTCGGGGTGTCTGACGAATTACGATGCATCGGTTCATTGATGAGGTCTTTAGCGCATAAGCGTGTAAATGTGTCGAATTGCTGTCCACTTCCTCTTTGTTGTCACTCGGTTCTTATCAAAGCAGGATCCGCCACTGACTGCGCAACGAGCTTTTGCTGTAAACTTCCCTGTTGCGCCGCCACTGCACAGTCCAATCAGGAAGGCCCGCTCAAGGGACACAGGAAACAGAGACAACTGCGGCCTTCGAGCCCTCTTCCTGTTTTCTTCCTCCTTTTTATAAAAGACTCTCCCTCCTCCTCTCTGCAATCCTCACTTTTTTTTCTCTTCCCTTCTTTCTCTTTCACTTCCCGACACCAGAACAACTTTCGAACGTTTTGCTTCTCCATGAGTATGCGTCCCCTCCTGTCTTTCGATTTCTTAATCCCCGACTGTCTCATGCTCTAAGACTTCGTCCTCCCTGTCAAGCAGACAAGACAATGGGGGCCCATCTTCTCCCCCCCCCCCTCCCCTGGCTTCCCTCCACTCATCATCGGCCCTGCCAGGTTTCTTCCCCATGGCTGAGCAGAAGACAAGCGGCTCTCCTCCTGGGAACAAACCCGCTCCATTCGGCCCCCTCTAATGGTCCGGAGGGAGCCATGCGCCTTTCTGTCTATCAGCTCCAATTAGAGACAGCTCCCCTCTTTCTTCCTTCTCTATACAAATGACGCTTTCCCTTTTCCATTCCTTTGTTCGAACATGCTGACTCTGGGGGGGTGTGCTTGAACGCATTGGACCCGCTGGTTCACTTGGTAGAACAATGCAAGACAGCGGTAGTCGTGGTGGTGGAGGTGGTGCTGGTGACGGCATTTACGGGAAAGCGACATGACTCAGGCAGCCATTTCAAGCGCTTCTTCTTCTTATGTGCCCACGTACAGCATGTGAGGAGCACTCAAGGCCAAGTGAGACAGCCTTGTGACACTTGCAAAACACACACATGCACGCGCACTCACACGCACACACACACAGGTCTATGCATGCACGCTTAAGCACATTTTTGGGCATCTAGCACAGTCACTGTCAGGGTCAAAAAAGACGCTTCCAGTTAGCCGCATATGCATTAACTGACTTCATCAAATGGTGATTCAATTTGGGGGCGGTATGCAGGTCAGCGGCTTTGTAGGTTGACGAGCTCAGCGGAAAACCAAGGATTTTTGGCCAAGGCCATATGAAGCAAGGTTTTAAATTTGGTTTGGAGTTTGTTTGTTTTTAACTTCTCTTGTCACATTGTTAACTTCTTCATGGAACCAACCTTCCATTTATTGTTTTATATGTCAAAGTGGCATAGTAGATAAAGAGTGGCTCTCGACACAATGCGGTGGCTCCATTAATTCATTGGCAAAGTATGCTCGGTCACTTTGTGATAATGGGGGAATAAAATGGGAAGAACACAAAAAGCTTCAATCCAACAATTGTATTTCAGTAGGCGGGGCACACCCAAAACCGGTTGCCAGCCATTCGCAGTAAATGTGTGAAAATTAATATATTCATGAAGGCGAACGCACCCTCGCACCACCTTTTTCAAACGTGGATGCTTCGCCATGTCTAAGAATCTTGTTTTGTATTCGGGCTCATTTGGGCAAATAGCCGAGTAGGACCCTAAAGTGGCCAACTTCCTGTTTAATGTTCATCTGTCAAACTGGTGCCGGGGCTGATTTTTTTTTTGTTTTATTCCATGCATTTTTCACCAGGATGCATGTGCATGAAACACTGAGTGAGTCTTTATGTGAAAGCCCCGCCCCCCCTCAAAAAGAGGCAAATCATTTGCTGTATGACTGATATTAATGTCCTAGATGGCAAAGTCGCTCCATCTGGTCGCCAAGGTGTTGTACTGCTGCATCATAAGATGTAACAATGAGGTGCCACGCCCTATTTGCATGCAGCAGCAATCGCCGTTCTAAGGAACTCCCTAGGTGCTGCTCTTTTGCACTTGACTGGTTTTATTATGCAAATAAAAAGCACTGTTACACTTCACTTATGTTCGGATTATGCAGTCAGTAAATAAGAATCGGACAGCACATGGATAAGGTTGAGCGGGGATATCGTAACTGACAAGGGGAAGAAGATGGAGTGGTCTTTGTAGAAAAGAATGGAAATTTAGATAAAAGGGAGGGCTGGAGGAAATACCAGAATGACAATGCGAGCCAGGGGTAATTGAGAACATCTGGGTGAGATCCGACCAATAGTTGCAAAGCAAAGGGCTTGGAGTGTGGAATGGAAAAAAAAGGAGAATAAAAAGTGCTGATGCGCTGCGTCACAAGAGTTTCGATGTGATTCGTGATTTTTTTTTTCCTTGCTTACTCATTGTCACACTTTTCCTAAAAAAAGGCTCCTTCTTAGCTCATTCTGGATGACTCGTCGCCAAAGTCTAACCATCAGGGCACTTTTTAAGTGTTGCTGCGCTTAGTGAAATACAAGAAGAAGACAAACAAAGAAAGGGCCAAGAGAGAGCGTGCCGCATTCATCACTTTCTGCAAAGTAAAAAGAAATTTGAATTCAATAGACCTCCTCAAACTTCAGTGCGAGTGGCGCTTTGGGCCTTCTTTTTTTTTTTTTTTTTTTTTGCTGATGTCAAACACTTTTTCTATTACTTTAGCAGGCAACCGGCGCTGGGACCACACTGGACTCATCCACATAACCTCAGTGTAAAGCCGTACACCAGTCACTAATTATTAAACCGCACTTCCATCAAGTCGTACGAGTCGAGTTTGGTTTGGAAGAATACATCCTGAAGCGTGAGAGCAATATCAGGCTCACAGCACGGCAATGCAGTGACGTTTTTGGGCATTAGGGAAACCATCAAAAAGACAAAACACATTCCTCAACTGAAGTGAAAAATATTGTGGAGTGTCATTTGTGGGTTTTGTTTCTTTTATTAGATGGCAAGTCACTTCCTGTTTCGGGGATGATGACCATGCAACCTTTGACACAGCAGCAGGACGTTTCCATCAAAAGGCAAAAAGAGAGAATAAGTTACTCCTTAAATAATTTGTCCTTCTGTTTGTTCGGATGTTCCGATGTTTGGAAAAGACCCTCCTATTGTAATTTGGGGTGGGAACAAACACTGTTTTAGGCCATTTGTTTGTTCAAAAGCAAGTTACTTCCTGGTTCACAAAGAGGTCACAGTTCTGTTGAACCAATTTCTTGTTTTTTTTTGTCCTTTTTTTTTTTTTCAAAATTTAACTGGGTTCCTTCTGAATATACATTTAATCTGGTCAGACAGTTTTGCTGAAATCGATTCTTTTTTTTGTAATCCTGTGAGCTAACTACTTGTTACCAAGTGTGGCTACATAGATTAGCATAGCTAGCCATCTTGGCGTAGGCAACAATTCAGGACATCTTAGAATTTTGTGTTCTGTCTTCTTGGCATCGACAATCAGTATTTTTGGTACTCTTCACAATGTTTGGCGGAGCAAACATGGGAAATCGCATACTTTTTACCATTTGGGTGTAAGTCATAGCCATTTGGAGGCTGTTTATTACATGTGTGTGGCTTGAAAGCGGCTGTTGCTTTTTGTTATGCTTTCACAACAGCATGTTTTCAGTTGCGTACTGACTCAAAGGCTTGCTGTCAGAAAGTCTTTCAAACATGTGGTTAGAGTTGTGAAAGTTCCAATGCGGACCTAAAATCAAAGCCAGTCCTCTCTACTAACCCAGAGAAGAAAAAAAAAAAAACAACAACAACAAGAGCTGCTCAGACCCAACCAAGCTCCACTTTTGCCTTTGGGTGGTCGGCAACATTTGCTTCGTCAAAGTGCCAAAAGATCTCATAGATCTCTTTCCATTAGCTAGATTGCCTCATAATTCTATAAGCGAGGGCGTAGGCGATGACAAGCCGTGTTGTTTGCGTGTTGACCTTTAAATCCAATCAACATGACTGACAATGTGGAAAGAGCCTATTGGGTATTTCACACACTCAAAAGGTTGCCGGCTCTACTGTGGTGTCCGGCTGACCCGTCACCAATTGTAATCCAATTAGGCGCCAGCGATGCCCCCCTTTTCCCTCCCCATCCCCTCATGTCGGTTTAACCCACCACGCCCACACAAACTGTTCGTTTAAAACATCGTGGAGGGGATCGACATTTATGTCATGTGAACAAATGGGCTCTGATGACAAAACGAGTGAGTCATTGACGGCTTAATGGTAGCCTGTTTACTTTGTGGTTTAATTGACGAAAACTAACGGTGATGATGCCTTTGAGTGTATGACTTATCATGTTTAGTGTCGATTTACACTGTGAGGAACACCTGTTCCCATTCCAGATATGTGCCATATACCTAAAATAACAGTCAAACAAATGTACTGTGACTAAAATGTGGCTAACAACACTGTAAAACACTTAAAGGGCAATGTTATAGTCGGTGTGCTGTTTGGGTTAAACATGCATGATGCTAACATGTGGCTAAGAGAGGCTATCATAGCCAACACTTGTTACGTTTAAGGCACACGCTTCTGTTGAAGAACACCCGTTTTCTAAAGCTGAGCCTTGATTGGTTGATTCCTGAGCCCTGAGCAACTGTGATGTCATTTGCAATTGCTTGCAAGTGGAAAAATGGATTTTACTGCTTAACTCATATTCCACAAATGCAAGATTAATCAGAATACCATGTTTAGACGAGTGAGGCTGAAAAGAAAATTTGGGGGTTGAATTCCCCTTTAAACATGCACACTGCTTGCATGTAGCTAAGAGGTTACATTATATATATATATATATATATATGCATACACACACTATACAAAGCCCAGTTGGGTTTATCCCTCAATCCCCCGCCCCCATATTGGTGTTTAAGTCAATCAGGACTAAACTTAAAAACACATATGCTAACAGAGGCTAATATATCTTAAAAACGGCTTATACGTGCTACATGTGTCTGGTTTGATTGGGTTTTAGAACACAGTACAGCTGAAACTACACGTAAGCTTCTATTGAATATACTTGATCGTGAAGGCACACGGTTTTGTGTTTGCTCAGTAACCTTTTGGTTATAAATACAAAGTGACAGCCACTCCACAAATGTAAAGTTGATCATTTATAGAGAAGCCGTTATGTCCAGTACAGTATAGTACTGTACAGTGTCTTATAAGCATGGTGTGGCCACATGGGTTAACCACGCCCCAGTTGTTCTTCATCAGCCAACTCTCAGCCTCTCACAATAATTAGGCCAATGTTCTGTGATGGCTCAACCCCACAAATGGGGATTTTTCCTCCCGATTCAAAGACAAAAAGAAGACAGTTGCACAATAAGGATGGAAAGAGTGGCCAAGTTGCCTGTTTGTCAAAGGCCAATTTATTCTATTTGGTCAGTGAAACGAACTCGTGTTTTGCCATTTTGGTTGAATAATGGCGAGTTAGTGAATACATCAAGGGCGAGGTGGGGCTCATTTTGCTGCACCTTGCTAATCTCGGTGCGCCACTGTTTCACCTAACAAAAGGCGTCAATAACTCCAGCTCCCCTACGGTTGTCAAGCTAGACTAGAGCACGGCACCCGGTCTCCAGCGTTAACAAAATAAAATGCCTCATGAAATTGTTTGAGTCCATTTGACGTCAAATGCCTACAAAGGCGTCGTTCGTGACCATCAAATGCTTAAACGTGTGAAAATACGCTTAAAATCGCTATTTAGTCGAATCTGGCGACAAATATATACAACCTGACGTTCAATTCGCTTGACACATGGTGACTATTTTGAACGCACAACTTAATTTCCGGTTATATCCCGGAAATACCTTGGTAGCTTGACGCGGCTGTATTCCACGCCTTGGCGCACCGCGTCGAAACGCAATTAAAAATTATAATGCAAATACAAATTAAACTTCTAAAACGAAACAAAAAATACCTTAATTTGCCTTTTGCTTTCGCCAAACTAGACAACTTTATTGAGCTTACGTCGCGTTCACTAAAAGTTGCCGTAAGGCAAAGTGACAGCAGCAAAGAGTGAGTGAATGGCGCGAGGGGCGTGGGCGGGTCGCCCGTTATCCCCTGGCCGTTGTAGGCAATCTGGACCATCAATTTCGAGAAGCATTCGAATTCCATGCAGATTTAGACACTCTAACTCACCGATGCATCCATCTTTGCACCATGTGGAACAACAAGTGTTTTCTCTCTGTCTACAATATGTACCTAAGGCAGGACAAATTGTATTTTTGGGACATAAATGTCCTTTTTTAGTTGGATTATGACGACAGAGTCGGACGGAGTCAATGCATTAATCAGGAAAATCATCATACTGTCCAGCACCGAGCAGCCGGACACGCCCATGTAAAAATCTACAGCATGCAAGATCAAGATGTGCAGCATTTCATTCTCTCGTTTAAGTATTTGTAAAGGTGGAATGGATGCGTTTGTGCTTACTTTTCTGTCCGTCACCTCCTCCCCGACAGCCTCCACCACCCCGGAGCACTCCATGCCGGGGCTGACCGGCGGTGACGGAAGCCTGTCGTAAAGCCCCTGGCGCGCCATTAGGTCGGCGAAGTTGAGCCCGCACGCCTTGACTCGCACCTGGACCTCGGCCGCCTTTAGGGACGGTTTGCCCTTTTTGACTTGCAGCTTGACTTTGTCGTAGCCGCCGTAGCCGGTGAGCACCAGGGCGCGATACGTGAACGCCTCTTCTTCGGGGACCTTCTCGGTCGTCGCTGTCGCCGGGGCAGCTGCGTCCGCCGCAGCCGCGGACGCGTCGGCAGCCCCGGCGGCCGCAGGCTCTACCTCCGTCTTGGGCTCCTCGGTGGGTTTGGAATCCTGTTTCTGGTCCACGGCGTTTTGCTGCTGGACAGGTGCGTCTTCTCCAGACATGTTTGCAAATAAGATTTGGAAAGGTAAAGACAGTGACTTGTTTTTCTTTAAAAAGTGTGCGTGAACCTGGAGTGGTCTTGCAAAATAAAACAGGGTTGCACGGAGTCTTTTCTTGTAGCAGTCACTAAAAAAAAAAACGACACAGTGTGCTGACCGGTGGAGAGGAGTGGTGGCTGTCAACGCCCGGCTCAGGCAGTGAGAGTGAGTGGGACGAGACGGAGGCCGACTGGAAAACACGGAGAGCTGATCAAATTCGCGGATTCCTGCGTGCGTGATTGGCTGGATTTGGGTTTGCAATGGGTCGGGCTTCGACGCCAATCTATAAACCATTGTAACAGGCATATGGATTGCAAAATAAATAAACCGGTTCAGGACAAATTCTGTCGAGATACCAAATTTCTGTCTTGAGGCTATTCTACCTAATCTATTGGGTCACCGTCTTGGTAATTGGGCAAGAACAACTTCAAATTCATGTTCAGTTCGCTGGGTACATACACACACGCAAGGTCTCACACCTTTATGGACAGTTTATATTCTTCAATGACTCAAATGTGCTTGGTTTTGGAATTTGGGAAAAAAAGCCCATGTGAGTACAGGAAAAATATTAGAAACAAATTTCGGTACAAATTAGTCTTACACCACCGCAAACTACATCCACAATAATTAACACATTGTTCAAAAATAAATACCTCTCATCATACTAAACTTAAGTGTCTTATGTTGTAATTTTGGATGGAGCGACTAAAGCTTGCAAAACTACATTAAAGAGCCCCTTCAAGTGAATTCAAAGATTCCTTTCTCAATACATAATTCATGTTTGAAGACAACTGCCTATAACGTGCAAAGACTGACATTTGTGTCCTACTTAGTTGTGCAGATACAGTGTTAAACTGTTTCTCAACATTTCAGTAGTCCTGATTTTTTGGGGGGAGTGGGGGCGTGGGTAAAACCTGGCCTTGACTTGGGCCATGGTATGAGTCACTCATCCCCACTTGAAAGAACTTGAATGTCTTGAAGTTGATGTGCAGTTAGCTAGCTAGCTCTGCCTACTCCCGAAAAAAGGACTGGATCATCGACTGGCGTGGCCGCCTTACTGTTTCATTGTCAATTGAGAGTGTGCCCATTTCACGTAGAGATAGGCAAAAGAGTGAAGACATAAAAAATTAAAAAATCTGACTTGACAGCTAACGTGGGGGAGTATAGGGCTTCGGCTGGTGTGGCTGCTTTAGAGTGCCTCGTCGTCACTGTGTGAAAAAGTCTGGCGGCAACCGGGTGGAATATAAGTCAGCCACCGGAGGCTTCAAACAAATATATTTCTGTTGTGGTGTGTGAAATTGAAAAGAAATGTGTTTTTACTTCTCCGGGATTTTAATAATAAGAGTCAAAAGACTTGGATAAAACTGAGGCATACGTCAGTCCATGTAATCTACTAATTGTTGACAGGAGGACAATCGTCACACACAAGACCACTTAAGATGTTGACACATGTATTGTTGCATGGCGCTCGTAGAAATGCACAGAAGGAAATGCACAGGAACCACACAATACAATCTGGTACAATACAATAGAGGGCTGCAAGCTCATTGTTGTCATTCCCCTTGCAGGCAGCATGATTAGGCATTGAGAGATGGATGGACCATTTCTTTCTGTGGAAGAAAATCTGATTTGGCTTGTGACAGACAGGTACAAAACATTTTGTGGTGAAATCCTGAAGTCCCACGCCCCTTCCCCCTTTCTTTCTTCTCAGTGGTGAGGCGGAGACACCTTGTGGCTACAAAGTGCCACTCAGCACTTCTCGTGCAGGCCAACGTCAGCAGAGTCCCAATCGATATCCCACAAACGCTCTGAGCTGAGTAGGAATCAAGATGACTGATTGATGGTCACTGTCAAGCATATTGCACTACTCATGTGTTGTCTTGAAAAAAAAGACGAGAACATCGTGGTGACCACAGCAAAAAAAAAAAAAAAACATTCCTGGAGTCAGCGCAAGTGAGGATTAGAAGTGCAAACATTCGGTAGTATCATTTAGTGAGACGGAAAAGTCCAGAAAATACTCCGGAAAGTCTCCAAAACAAGTCCACAGCCGAAGAAAGACACAAGCATAAAATTTGGAACCCAGGACATCTGATATTTTCTTTCATTTAAGGTAGGTTAATGTTATTCTGCGCTGTAACTGGGCCTACAAAATGTGTGTGCACTATATGAAACACATGGGATTTAGATTTCGAAGATTTTGCCCAACGCTAGTAATATTCCCTGCGTAAAAATATTCATTTAAAATTATGGAAGCTAAATTGTAGTAAAAATACATTATTCAATTTAAAGTGAATACAGTATTATAAATGAAGTCAATCCACCGATGCAGTTCAATTTTGGCCACAAGAGTGCAGTGTGACTCTTCATGGAGGCCTAAAATGATGCCTAACTGCTCAGCGCGTGGTAGGTCCAGTTTAATGAGCTCGTTCATTCATTGCTCAAAACCAATCATTCAGATCGCGACCTAACTAAAGGAAAGACGTGCTATAAACACAAAGTGGTCACCCTGAACCGCTCCGTTTAATGGCCTACTTCATGAACATACGCCGCGTTTAATGTTTCTCCATTACTGGCAAGTATTCAACGGACGTTAATGTGCACACATTTCCTGACTGCTGAAATGGGGATTAATTTTATAGATTTTATTTTATTTTCTCAAAAGAGGACTGAGTCAATGCTGGCTCGGTTGCTACGAAGAGAGGAATTTATTCTATTGGCCAGGAATGACGTCAATATTCTTGTTAGTAACAAAAGTGGTGCTAGTCGGACGCTTTTGTCATTTGTTAGAATCATGGAGGGACAATATTTATGACATGTAGACAAAATGAAATTGTTAATATATAGGGTTACTTTTCGTTATTTAAAAAATTTTGTAATAATAACGACAATAAAGATAATTGAACGTTTGACTGAGTTTTTCCTCAATGGAGGATGAAAAGGATGAAATTAACCATTGAACTCAAGTCTTCCTGGTGCACGGCCGGTGGGCGTGGCCTGCCACCTTAACGCTTAGCCATGGTCGCGCACGCGCACTCAGCGTAGGCTCACGCGTGTACCCTCCTCCCTCCCTCCCTACCTGCTCGCTTGCCTGACTGTCGGCTCAGTCCGATCACCTGGCACCACTTGCGGCACTCAGACAGTCTGTCAGCCGCACCGGAGGAACTGCACGCCGGTGAAGGCTGTGCTGGAGCTACGGAGAGCTCCGCGGAAGAAGTCTTCGCTGTTTGTTGGTGTCTTTAGTGTTCACGGATGTTGGCGAACATCGATTGCACCTCTGACCGGCATGGAGAGTCAGGGCAGCCGCTGTAAGATTGTGGTAGTGGGCGACGCGCAGTGTGGCAAGACGGCGCTGCTACACGTTTTCGCCAAAGACTGCTACCCGGAGGTGAGAACCAAGCCAGCTTTTCACATTATGCTTAATTTTTTTTTTAATCAACGAATTATATCTTATATGGACCCCCGTGAACGGTTAATTGAATAGTGAAGTATCGCTGCTTTTCTGGGGTTCTTCAAACGTTTCGGGTCCAGGGACGCTTTAACTGTAGGTATGTTTGTCAACATCATGATGAATTGATTTATGTTATGCATTGATGAGATCAGCATTGTCAGATAGCTCAATGAAAACGATTCCCATGATATAATTTTCCTGCAATAAATATTTTGCATGAAGAAAGTTATCCATTTTAAAAATTGTCGAGAACACATGAATTTCTGGACAACTTCTTAATACTAAATCCATTATGAGTTTATGATTTGTGTGGACCTTTTTGTCAAATCCAAGTTTTAAACTTTTTGTTTTCAGACGTATGTACCAACCGTATTCGAGAACTACACGGCCAGCTTTGAGATTGACAAGCACCGCATTGAGCTGAACATGTGGGACACATCAGGTGAGTCCCTTTCGCTTGTGTCCGTCCCCCTTATAAGTCGTCTCCTGTTTGACTTCTCGTTTTGACCTAAACGAATGATTCGATGATTACGGTCTTTGCCGGAGTGCCAGCCTGCTTTCTTTCTGTTTGTTTTCCCCTCACGTGACGACCACTCTCACGTCTTCCCATGCTCTGGCTCCAAGGTCAGGCGATACATCTGGGGCTGGGAAAGTTGGGGGTAGAAGCAAAGGTGGAGAACTCGTGCTTATGTCCGTGCCAATCTCTTCATTTTTTGTGTGTTTCTTGGTCATGTGTCCACTGAAAATGGACTGTTGGGAAATATTTGCCCACAACTCAAGAAAAAATAGCAATTGAGTGACAGCTTGTATCCTGAAAAAACACATAAATCGTCTCACTCCTAAATCAGCCGAGTCCTGTCAGTTGAATGTGAAAATCAAAATTATAGCTGTAAGTATAAATTAACATGCTCTCGCTGCCCCTTTTAATTGGCGAATTTAGGTTCATCTCTAGGCGCGGTTCATTGAAGTACAAGCCCTGGAATTGAGCCCAAAAATGGCTGATTCAAATCAAAATGGCTGACTTCCTGTTCAATGACAAGGCTTAAATTGTTATTTTGCCTTTTCGAGAAATTCATTTATTCAGGTTTATGCCTAAAATGGCTTTGGTCAACTTTCTGAGATCTTTTTTGACACCGGATTGGATGGAGATGACAGGACAAGTCAGCAACTACCCCGAGTGTTTAGTCTGGTGTTTTCCTGACCTTCCAATTGGAAGCTTTCCGCGACCTTATGACAGTTAAAATCATCAGAATCCGAGACCCCTACAAGGGGGATCGTCCACCGTCAACATTCCCAACCCAAAACTATCTTTAGATCTTTAGACGCTGCCTCATGCTCGGCCCGGGAAAGAATGTTGTTGTTTTTGCATTGGCCCCTGACAGTAAGTCTTCTTGAGCCTGCCACTCAGCGGCAATGCGTCCCCCAGGGGCCGTAACTTAACTGAGGAGGGGCTCCTTATCACCGTAGCTAATGTCGCTGTGGGAATGTTGTGCTTCCGCATGTCTTTATAACCCGGAACCACCTTTGCCGCCAGTGGTCTTTAATCTTTTTTTTTTTTGCTCCCACAAATATGTCGCCTATCCACAGGGCACATGTGAGCCCCCCGATGTGTGTGTGCGTGAGTGTTACTTTACTGATTACTTGATTTCAAAAGTAACTAATATAACCACAATATAAGCCCCACTTATGGACATAAATCATAGCACTCGCTAGGATAGCGTAGCACTAGCACTGAACTTTGCATAGCATGCTAACGTAGCATGTAACCGGTAGGGACTGAACTTCACCAGCTGAAGAAGAGGTGCCATGAACTTACTTGACATGGACACGCACTACAGGTGAAGCTAATTATCGTATCTTCGGTAATATGTGAAAACACAGATTGCGTGCTAAACTATCCTAATTTCCACTAATAACCCAGGCTAAATTTAGCTCCTCCCCGGCATAGAAAGCTTGTCTCTCATCAAGCTGTATCACTCTGACATTAAACCAGATCGGCTTAGCAAACTTGTACATTAAATCTTAAAAAAAAATAAATCAATAGAGTTCTTTCTGTAATGGAGCTCCATTTCCCCCTGCGAGATTGATCAGGTGTCCAAATGTGACTTAGAAGAAAAGTTGACAGGAGAGTTTTTTTTTTTTTTTTTTTTTCCTGGAACCTTTTTGATTTGCAACTAAGTGTATTTGTCTCTCTTTAAAAATCAATTGGCTACTTGCTTTGATATAGATCCTAAAACCTTTGAAGAATATCGGATCCTTAATCACAGGTTGACTCCCCCCTGCCGGGCTTTGGTTGCGATCACAAAGCCTTACCGATCGTCTGGCCTTCCTCCATCTCGTGATCGCATGTCATTAAAGCGCTTCTGTCATCGGCCATCGATTTGCTGGATCTCATTAATTCCTCTTCTCGGATGAGAGCAAGGCATTCTGAGGTGTTTATGGAATTGATTTGCGAGCGTTATCGTGGCGCCTCTGTGTGGACTTTGACTACACTTTGGGATTGATTAAAAGCTGAGCTGCTTCTCTTTCTGAGGAGGGGGCTGTTGAAATATTGGAGAAGTGTCTTTCAAAAGTGTGTATAATATACGGTAATACTGTATCGCATCACAGTATGGACGTTTGGATGTATAATGTGATCGTTTTCCTACTCCTCCCTTTGTATAAAAATCATTGTGTACATTTGTGCTGCTGTTATGTTATTTTGAGGTGTGTTGAACAGACTGGGAAGCCTGTTGTCGCTTCCGGAAAAAGCCAGACGGCAACTTTGTCTCTCTTTTGTGCGTTGAGACCATCTGGAAAATGATGCCAATTACAAAAGGGACTGGAGAGAATTCAAATGTTTGCCTGTGCGCCACACGACTGTGCTGCCATTTACCCTGACAAGGTCTTCCGGTGTATATTCGCGTCCTAATTGATTTTTCAAGTAACCCTTGTGGTCAAGTGATCCAAATGTCAATGTGTCTCGGCGAGAACTTCCCTGAGGGTCATTACTGCTGCTTGCACTCGATGCTCGGGAGGGAGGAGGAGGCGGTCCGTTGCTAGTCAGTCAGTCTGGGAGGTTGTAATGAGCCCGAGGCATTATTGCACTCTGCCTCTCTTCTCGATATAGTCACGCTGCCTGGGAAAACGTCCGGCTTATCGCTCACGCTCGCCACATCTTTAAATGTTTTTCCATATCAGGAGTCCAGAACTTCCTCTGTCTTCGACTGATCGTAACGTCTGTCATTCCCTTTTGGTGCAGGTAGCAAATTCCCCTTTCAAGACAAGGCTTTTTGGATGTTTTCCTTAAATTTTGGGGTCATTTTTTTTTTTTTTGTATAGATAACGTAAACAACAAATGATGTTTTGATATCAGTGCATTTTTCAATATTTTATTTATTTTTCAGCATTTAGAAATATATATTGTTGTTGAGTGTTTTATTTTTGAAATTATTTATTTTATTTTGATGTAATATTTATCTTTTAATTGTAATTTTATATTTGATTTTAAAAGTTTTGTTCGTCATATTTTGTTTTATTTTTCAATAGTATTTGTTACTTTTATTTTATTTGCCAAACAAATCACGTGAACGTCTCTCTGTGGCAACGCCAGACGGAATAAATTGAAAGTCAACAAACACATTTTAGCATTTAATCCTTTCGAACGCTCATTAGCACCACCAACTGGACTGGAGTGTATCAGCATCTGTCTACCACTCTTGTATTGACTCTCATTAGCCTCTCAAGGTGAAACACCCTCACAGGGGCGCTTTGTTTTCCCTGCAAAGTGGCGCCAGCCTGACACCGGGCAGAGTGCATCAGCAGCTGGCCACGTCCCTCTGACATTCCTGATGTCTTTCTACTCGCATTCCGGTATTTCAGGCATTCTGAAGCCTGTGCAAACAGCGAACAGAGCGGACGTTCAAACAAGCTTCATCCCGGCGGAGCACCCCAGGGTGCTACCACGTGGCCTGACGTGATGTGGGCAGACACACGGAAACTGTCACTGTGACCTCATCTTGTACTTTCCTTTTTTTTTTACTTTTTGGGAAGAGGAGATTATGTTGTTTGGGTTCATGAGGAGGATAAAAATCAAATAATTTTTTTTCAAATGGGAGTTTCGGAGTGACTGAGCCTGGAGGCCGCCTGAGGCAATGAGCGCCGAATGACACGTGTTTTGACGACACGGGGCAGGAAAAAAAAAGGTGTGTGACATTGTTTAAAGGTTTTGCTCATTAACATTCGGCACGCTTGACTGAGATTCATCTTATCCAATTTAAAGATGGAAGATTTGTATTTTGTTCAAACCATTTTCTCATTTGGATATGGTTATCTTTTAGATAAGAGAGTGAATAGCACAAATCTGCATATAGTTGACGAGCCTCATAAATGCACTAAGAATTTTTTTAACACCAAAAATTCTTGAAAAAAACGGGGATAAAACCCCAGCAAGCATTTTTCACGAAAATTGAGGTTGCCCCCCACCAAAAAAAATTAAAGTTTGAAAAAAAAAGGTGAATCTGTGCCGAACAGCAAGTCTGCGAGGGTTTGCTGTAATCATCAAGCGTGTGTATTTAAAACAACCACACAGCCTATCTTTCCGTCCGGTAGCTTAACACTAAAATTAACTTTGCATCCCTGTCATGCGGTGCTCTCAACCTTGAAGCAAATGGATTGATCAGAAACAACATTACAGTACTCACATCATAAATTCTTTATCCATTGGGATGAAGGGCTAATATTAGTGCTGTACTGATGAGCTGAGAGGAGTTGAAACGTTTCACTGTCGAGTGCAGTATTTCTTATTCTAGTCTTATACTGGTCTTACATGACCAAAGGGGCACACTAGAAAGATCAACACAATGGAGTCACGAGCATGGTCACGGAACAAATCAAACTGTACCATCGTATTTTGGATTTCATAATTTTAAAAAAGCTCTAAAATAAGTCAACATGTTATTCCCCGATCGACACACTCGGCTGGAGTTTGTTATTCAACTGAACAAAATAATTGAAATTGTTGTCCCGTCCACCCCAAAAAGAAATGAGAGAATAACAAATTCTGTAAAGCTTCGAGTTGAACCTCCACAGTGGCCCTTAATGCATTGTTAGCTTTGTTATTGTTGTTTTTATTGATCCATTAAACAAAACAAATAAAACGATGCAAGGTGCATTTGCCGGTCATTAATTTTTAACACCGTTTGTCCAGCAGTTTGCGTGCGAGCGACGCTGTTTTGATGCCGCGCGTCAACAAAGAGAAGTTTTACAGAGGGTATGGTGCGCGCGACCAGAAAGAATTTCAGGTGCGCTTTTATAGATCCGAGTCAACACTGTAGAACACTATGAACTTGAAAATTGTTGAAGAAAAATGTCCAAGAAGCATCTTCCCGGTCATTTTGGGACAGCGAGTGAATGTAAACCCCCTGACACGTGCTAAGCGGCGGGTTTACAGTGGAGCCGGCG